ACTGCACATGCACAAATCTACATTTTGCATAATTTTACCATCATGACACTTAAAAAAGTAATATGCATTAATGTATGTATAACACACGCCATTTAATAAAAGTATTAATTAATACTATGAAATTAACTCCAACAATCTAAAAGTTAGCTTTACCTCTAAGTTTATTTTCCTTTATCAATAGCCCGCAGTACTGTTGTGGATGGACAATATGCAAGTTAATGCACAGTAGTTATTTGTTAGATTTATACCCTGCCTTTTTTCCAGGGCTTTCACTGTGGTGTACATAGTGTTCCTTCCTTCAATTTTTCCTCTCACAATGCTGTGAGACAGATTGGACAGAGAGAAGCTGACCACTTAACATCACCTAGTGAGCTTCTATGGCTAAAGGCTGAACCTGAACTTGGATCTCCACAGGCCTAGTCTAATAGTTTAAGTTAGGGACCTACAGAAATTAGGTGGCAGGAAAATATTTTATTCTTAGCTTTTTAAAATACCATTTAACTTTTGGAATGCTTGCATGAAACTTTATAATATAGATTCATAAACTAGGGTCACCAGATGTCCAGCATAAGGAGGACTTGTTCTCCTTTTTGTCCTTGTGCCCTCTGTCTGGCAGGTATAGCCTTAAAATCAAATATTGTCCAGCTTTTTGAGTGTCTTGTGTTTGGTTTTTTTCTAATTTTGCACTGTTTTCACAACAGTAGTCAGTCGAACTTTTGTGTATTGTGACCTTATAAATTGTCTGCTTCTTTCTTTCCCTCATCTGTTGACAGACTCGACAGCCTAGATTTATGTTATATATTTCCTGATTCCAGCAATTGGCTTCAATCCAGCCCCTTCAAATCTATGATCACTGTAGTCTGTAGATCACATGACTCATAATTTCTATGGTGAAATTTGGAAGGCTTGTCTTCATCAATTCTATATTATTGCTAGCATATGTTCTTGAAAATAAAGATTAGTTGGAAAAAATTGTTGAAAAACCAGTCTTTCTGATGCTGTAAAAAGTAATTTCATATACATGTAGGCCTAAGTACATTTTTTTGAAATGTTAAGGAAGTTAAACAGCACGTCCTCCTCCCTGGCCCACCTCCATTTGTCCTCCTTTCCAATTGTCTGTATCCTCCTTTGCCTGTTCAGATATCTGGTAACTCTAATCATAAACATAACTCTAGCATCAAGAGTACTATAGCATCTAGTTAAAATATATCAGAATTGTTTTTATGTAACCTGGCAAGAATACAGAACTTCTTACAGATGTCAATTCAAGTTCATGATCCAAAAGCATTACTAATTAAATTCCTTTTCATCTATGATTTTCCCATGCAAGCCAAAAACTACATAAGCATTCATAGAGGACTGAAGGAACATTTCTTTTCCAAGTAATCATTACTGGCTAAATAGAGATACCAGCAAAATAGCTTTCTTTTGAACATATTGTCTAGAATCTAGTTACCATTATTGTGTTATGGTTGTTCTATTATTATTTGTTCTTTTGTCTGTTGGTTTTTAATCTTGTTTTCAGTGCCCAGAGTCACAATTGTGAGATGGATGGCTATGTAAGCAATATAATTAATAAATAAATAACAACACTGAACATTCCAATTCTGAGGTTGGATAACAGTAGTTGTTAAATACAGAAAAACTGTGGCAAAGAAACTCACATATAACTGACTGGATGCTCAAATGTATTTTCTCTCCAACTAAGCTAATATTCCCTGAGCAAAAGAAAATGATGTAATTTCATTTCATCAACTAGCCTTCAGGATAGGTGAAAGTAATCAAGTGCTCTCCAGATGTCATTGAATCTCAGAGCTGGAAGGAGTCATTTAGGTTATCAAGTCCAACCACCTGTCACTGCAGGAATCCAAATTGAGTTGAGTACATTCAGCAAAGAGGAGTTCACCATCTCCTCAATCACTAGTTCTCCTGCTGATCTGCTCCCATTTTTCTTTTCAAAATTCAACCAAAATCTGTCTTTGTGTACCTTAAGATGATTATTCTTTCTTCTGTATGACACATCCCTTCGGATATTTGAGGGTGCTATTATATTCTGTCATCTTTTCTCAAGGCTAAACAAACCCAGTTCCGTTAGTTTCCCTCATTTTGTACTACAAATCCCAGCACTGTGATTATTGGCAACACTGCTTAGGAGTTAGGGGAGCTGTGCTTCAAAACATTTGGGTGGCATAACACAGCCAATCCCTACTCAAAGGTTATTCAGTGCCACCATTATATTGGATGGATGGATGGATGGATGGATGGATGGATGGAAGGAAGGAAGGAAGGAAGGAAGGAAGGAAGGAAGGAAGGAAGGAAGGGGCTATAATGAAATATTTACATTGGTCAATATAATAAAACTCATATCCTTATTATATAAAACCCTTCATATGCTGAGAGCATAGATAAAATCCAACAGTTGGTTTCTCCTGAGGAACCTGCTTCTGCAACCAGAACCTGGACAACAGCAATTCCTTTCCCCTTTCAAATCTAATGTTCTCTCAAAATGTGTCCAGAAGGTTCTCTAAGTCCTTCATATCAGATTATGAGGGCTGAAGATATTCATTCATTTGACATATATTGCCAGGTTAGCAATAGAAGCAGACAAAGCAACCAACAACACTAGTTATAAATGACAGTAATTTTATGACAACGAGATACCAATTCACTGTTTCCCAGGATCAGAGTTTTTTTTAATAATCTCAGATTCTATGAAAATAATAGAGTTTCTTGGTTTAACTGACTGCTACTTCATTATCTTTTGTTATGTCAAAACAAATTATACAAGTATAATGAAGTACTAGTTTTGAAAACTGCAAGAACTCTACAATAGCATTACTATCCATAATGGAACAGTAAAAATTAAACTCATGCTATTTAGATCTATTATTTTGCTTTCAATTATTTGACAAAAAAACTGTTACATGTACACAGTCTAAATCTATCTTAAATCTTAAATACTGGTTGAGTAGTTATTATTGGGTGTTTTATGGATAGTTTATTCTGGGCTTTTCTTACAACCTGCATGTATATCAGTCATAGTAAGGGCTTCCTAGAATTCAGAGTAATCTTATGAGAGCAATGTTTATATCATTCCTTCCTATGCCTCTCCTGCTCATATGTAATCCTTGCACTAAATATTATTAGCCTCTTGTGATAGTCAGTAAACATGAAACTGCACACCATCTGGGCCAACCCTGAAAGAGGCTTAACAGAGATATTTTAAGGTATAAGAGTCTCCTTTAGTGCCTACAGAATTTGCTACTCTTATCCTGCCTTATTGGAGGAAATAATGCTTTTTCCTTATTTCCCCTATTGTTATTCTTACTCTTATTATTCTTTATTTCTCCTTACTATTATCAGCAATTCTGTTTACCTATGTAAATAAAATAAAATATAAAAACACACTAACATAAAAAGTAAAATATTATACAGAATGTATATTTTGTATCTCCCCCTTTCTCCAATAATATCAACTATTTCTCCTCTGAATATTTTTTACATTTCTACATTTGGCCTACAGTACTGAAGGCTATCAAATGGGGAAACGTCTGGAGGAAGAAAAATTAGGCAAACCTTCTGTTGCTGGTTCTCTAATTCTGTGTCAAAATCTCATGCAAGAGAGAACCTGAAAAAGCTCTTTAGAGAAGAGTTTAGCCTCTTTCACAGAACACCTGGAAGAACTGATCTAGATGAAAGATAGCCTGACCGCTTTCATGCACCCCTGCAACCCTTTAAATCATAACAGGAACCTTTCTATGATCTCAGTTCTCTTCCTTGAGTTTCCAAGAGCAAAGTAAATAGCAGACCCAGTGAGGCATCTGTGAGACTGCTAGAAGACCTTACTACTAGAAATCTACTCAGAAAGTATCCAGGGGCTAAGAAAATATCCAGCTGCAACCAATAAACAGCTGAAAACTAGGAAGAGAAAGAGTTGGCAGCATATTTATAAAGCCCTCAGACTTTTCTGGACCTTTATTGGATTAAGCATTCCCTTTTGAATCCATGTCTTCCATGTAATATGTAGGTTGGCCAAAGGCCACTGGGTGAGCAAGAATTTGAATCTGGATTTTCCAATTCCAATATTCTATTCACTGGTTCATTGAATATGCTTAATTTTCAGTGTAGGTACACCAAAGGGATGTCTTTCTTAATATGCGCTAGGCAGATTTTATTTATATACTAAATTCATTATCCAGAAAACCGGTGGCAATAATCCAAATGGCTCAGTATTACAAGCAGAAATATAGCCAAGGGCTGTAACATGTGAAAATAAGTATGGATTAACATTCTATTATGTTACAACAAATGAACATAAAATATTGTTAACTATGATTCATATGAACTAAATCTATCTGATAAAGACTGCAACTCAGATATGACTGAACTTCAGCAATACCATGTACAACATTTCCTTCTAAGTCCGACTATAAAATGGCTGAGAAAGTACGTATATAGATTATTCATTGAGTTATAGTATTTTGTATAAATTGAAAGGAAGGAAAGATGTCCAAGTAATAGGAATGTTAACAACCCCCGCTCCATCCCAAAGACAGTAGTTATGACTTCTGTATTACCCAAAGTTACAGGAGTAAAATTTAAAATATCTATCAACTGCTCACAATACATCTCTCTCATGCAGAGGTCTGAATTATAGGCTCTTTCCACAGATTTTCAGATAAGCATACTTGTTTCCAATCCTGTGCCTGCCTCACGTTCCATACTTCCTCCTCAGTTATTACAATCTTAAACTGGCTGAAAAAAATGAGGCTGTTAGCCCTTAGGGTTCTACTTACTCAGTGTTCACATCCAGTGGTCCTGCCATCAGATTCAAAGCCTGTGAATGTAGATACGGCTATCCATACACCAAATGGTTTTAACAAGTGAGACTGACTAGAATGCATACCATAATCATTTAATGTACAACAAGGGAGTTTTAGTGACTGGGGAGACCAGATGTAAAAAAATGAAGAATAATGATTGCATAATCTTTTACTTACTTTTCTTACATTATAAAAATCTCGATGAGGGTTACTCTTCAATTCTTTTAGCTCAGACATCTCATTTAGCATCTCATGTAAACCAAATTTAGATCCTAGAAAGTTAAGCCGCTTGTGACAATACGTTTTCCTGTGGAAGATGAACCATCATTGCTTAATTATACTTTTATATTATATAGAGAGATAATTATTTTACATTAAATAACAGAGATCCACTGGGGATCAGATATATAATTAATACAGGTCAGGGACATCTGCAATGGGAGGGTCAAAATGTAAAAATGACAGTTGTGACCACACAATTGAAATTCTATCTGTTTTTAATATGTCTGCAGTGAATGTAAAAAAGGGGCAAGACTGATCTCAAAGTTGTGCCCGCAATCTTACTTTTTTGACATGCCCTGAGGGCACTCTTGATACAGGTGTACAAATAACTTTGAATTAGAACTGTTTCAAATTTGAAGCACTCTGCTTCAGGTTCAAAATGCCCTATTTCACACTAAAAACAACTGATTCACATTCAAAATGGGTTGTTTCCAGCTCTTCTAACTGAGGAACATTTATTTATATTCACTTTTTAGAAGATGCTGGGAATTAACACAAGCACTACCCTGACTCAAATGTTACACATACTATTATCTATAGTAGATGTAGATCTCTACATACACCTAATGTAGCATTTTCAGATTAAAGCTAAGAGTTTTCTAAATAAACATGTATAGGGTTACATTTTAATCTGAGAACTTCAACAAACAGAAGTGGCTTGAACAACTACAGCATTACGACTGGTAAAGCATATAATATCCTAGCCTTATGGAATTCTTAAAGTTAAACAGAACCATACGTTGGGCCATCAGCAATAAGAGCCAGCACATGGCTGAGGTCAAGGGTGTAGGTCTGCAGATCAAGGTAAGGCAAACTTTGTGGTTCATTAAGTTCCATCATGTCTTTGTTCTCAAAAACTAAGAAAATCCCTTCCTTCATCTTTACAACATAATCCAAGTTCCCTGGAGAATCATCAAGATTGTAAGGATCCTGTAGTTCTTTTGGTGGTGGATGGAAATCTGTAAAATATCAAGGTCAGACATTCTAGCATCATTTAAAATACAGGATCATTCTAAGTTGTCTATCACAGCTGAAAATTAAATTGTCAGTAACCAATGTAAACTCACAAAGAATTATATGTGATATCATACTGGAGATATTCTGAATGTAGCAACTCCCCTTCCACATTCAGTGTCATCCAAGGGTATTTATCAATCAAAATATATGGAGTACAAACCAGCAGCTACATAGCCATTTATTCAGTGACACTCAACTACATTTTACCATGTACCAAAACATATTCATATACTGTACTGAAGGGGAGGGGGGAATACAAACAGCTCTATGTAGTAAGAAGATAGTTCTGAAATAGCCATTCTATACAGTTTTTTGAAATCCAAATAAATTTTAGAAGCCATTTTTAAGTAATTAAAGAGGCATTAGCACTTGTGTCAAAATGACAGCAACATGTTAGCAACTTAAACTCCACCACTTTCGTACATGCATGTGACATCATGGCACATATGCAGTAGGGGCAGAACTTATGCTGTTTTCATTGTTTTCCCCCTTGACTCTCCCTGCGGACATTTCTAATATTTAAAATTATTTTTCACCTTTCAGTCCAAGAAAGGGCCAACTAAATCTAGTTGTGATATGGAAGGAAGATTCACTTATTCCAAAGTTTTAAAAAGAGGAGGCATGCTCTCATTTATGATAGCTATCTTTTCTTCATATCCTATTTTAATACCTTTAATTGCATCTCTACATTAATAAAGCAGATGACTTTTTTCTTGCTTACAAATTGTTATCTGTTTAATTTTGGCACATCAACCTCTTCTTAATGCATAGGAAGAAAACTAAAACCATGTAAGCTTAGTTCTGTTAGTACAGTAGGAAAGAAAATTCCTGTATTACCTAAAAATTAAGTGCATAGTAGTTGTCCATAAACATCTACATCATATTTATTAAAGATATAATATATACAATATATTAGTTTGTGCCATGTGCTTAGAAATCAGCATGAAATCTTTTGATGAGTATCAGTTAAAATAGAATGGTATGGATGGGCGATTGCTAATTAGAGACATGTAACTATTCTATTTGAAAAGAGAAAAAATATAACAGGCCTTGTTCATGTGTAAATCAGATTGAATAAATTTTAAAAACTGAACTGATTCCAGGTTACTATTTTTTTTTTTTTGCTAAGCCATTACGTGGTTAGTTTGCTTTTTACTCAGCTTGTTCCATGAATGTGGCTTATAAAACACAGTTGACAGGATCCAACTGCTGAAATAATATCACCATCTCTTGGATTTTATTGTATTTAATAATTGTATTTTATATTT